TTTATATATGTATATATGTATGTATGTATGTATGTATGTATGTATGTATGCATGTATGTATGTATAATATGTATATGTATACATCAGAAGCAATGTGTTCAGGAATTCTGAATCAGCTGCTTAAAAATCAAGAAAAAACATTTTCAATATTATTGTTTTAATAATTTATTGAAATGAAAGAATAGATGGTATGAATTAATTTATTTTAAAAATAACCACAACTGCATTTCGTTTAATATAGCTTCTTTATTCAATTTTATTTTTTGAATGTATTATTTTAAGTAAACATCTTACAACATATTTTATGTATTTATATATTTATCTAGTTATATTTAATTAAAAGATAAAATAATACTTTAAGTTTCATTTAATATTTGTACATTTTTTTTATCCAAAGATTTTATATAAGTTTTTTACCGTCTTTTTTATTTTATCTCTGTATTCAATTATATAACAACATTATTATAATAAAAATCTTACTATGTATATGTTATTGTAAAATATTTTTACATTATAATTTGTTCCATTTTTTTAAGGAACCATATAGGGATATAGATGATTAATCTATATTCTATAACGTTTTACTTAAAATAATACAAAATGTTAATAAAATTATTTATACTATCTTTTAAAAATTCATTAATCGAATATTTGAAAAGAAATAAATATTAAATAAATCGATTAATTATTCATCCGTTAATCATTAATTTTGTGTTTTTTATGCACAAATTACTTTATAAAATACATACAATTATTATTTATTTCTTGATATCTCGATATTATGAAATTGCAGTATAAAAGTCGGCAGTATGTGCTTTACATTTTACTATATTTATCAATTTTTATTATAAAAACAATTACTTTTAATTGATCACATATAATTAGTATAAATTTTTACAATTAATTTAATTCCCCATTATATTTACTTATTTTATATTTTGTCAAATTAAAGTATTCATAAACATCTGTATCATGATATTACTTTATAGATTTTAATATAATTTTAACATTAATTTTTAATGTTATTTATTATTATTAAATAATAATTTAAAATAATATATTTCAAAGTCGTAATTTTTTCAAAATATTTATATTGGATTTCCACTATGGATAATAAAATCAGCTATTTATGAATTCTTTATGAAAAAGTTTGAAAATTCTTCAAGTACAAATGATATTGGCTAACTAAATGAACTATCAAGAAAATGTTATACTATATACAATCAAAAGTATTCATTTACTTAATTTATTTATTTGTATAAATAAAATTGAAACAAAAAACAAATATAATTTTTAAATTAAAAATAAATTTTTATTAATATAAAACAATATAATATTCTAATACTCTAAAATTAATAATTATTGCAAAAAGAAAAATTTATGATATACAATTTCTAATAAAAAATATTCGATTGCCTTAAAATAAAATAATTTCTTTAGGAAAATAAAATCAAACAATATGAATCTTTTCGGAAAATTAAATCAGGTAATCAGAATTAGTTTTCCAAATGTATAAAGAAAATTTTAAAAGAATTGTAATTATAAAATTATAATAATCGAAATAACGAAGAAAATAATAAAAATTATTTTCTTTTTTATCTGAGATTGTAATGGAAAATTAAACAATGTTGCAAATTTGTTAAATGTCAGTCATTTATATCCTGAAAATTCAAAATCAATATACATAGAAACATTAGACATTGAAAATTGTAAAAATCTACATTTTAAAGATACTTTCTGCTAGAAATTATATTATAAATTTAATATAATTTAATATTATGTCAGAAAATAAAATTTTAAAATATCTATTTTTATAAAACCTACGAATTTTTCATTAAAAAATGCTTCCAATATATTCAAAATATATCCAATATATAAAAAAGCGAATTTTTAAGAAATTTTTTTTCAACTAGCAATAATTTATCACAAATCATCTTAATCAATTATGAAAGAAGATTATAGAATATTTATCATGAGTCATAAAAAAAAATAAGATCTTTTTCAAAATTTCGTTTGAAAAAGAAATTGTTATTTAAAGAATATAAAATAGTATCAATAATAAAAAAATGTTAAAGTATTAGTATAGTCTAAATTAAAGAAAAAAGAACATTATTTTTACAACTGACATAAAAATTTATATTTTTGATCCTGACAAAAAAGTATGGAAAAAACTAAATACTACTGCATACATAAAAGTGTCATCACTAATGATATGGGGTATTATTATCATCATTGATTATATTTAATAATTTTCATATTATAAAGATTATCATAGATTTTTAGATATATTTAAATATTTTAAAACAAGATTTATTATCAATTGTTAAAAAATTGAATATAGAGAAAAATTTTGTTCCAATAATAAAGACAATCCGAATACATAGTATGTTCAACTTGTCAAAGAATGAATCTTATACAATATTTAGTATTATTTAATATCTATAACAAAGACCATATAATTACCACATAAACTTTTATAAGTAGAATATTTATAAGTAGTGTAAGTAAAAATTAAAAAAAAAATCAAGATATAAATCTTTTCTTTTAAAAATCAATAAAAATTATTAATTATTAATTCATTTAAAAAAATGAATTTTAAAAAAAATAGAAAAAATATAGAATTAATAAAAAATATCCTCAGATTTGATGATAAATAAATCATTGGTTAAATCAATATCTAACAGATTTAATTAAATCTGTATTTTAATAATAAATTATAATATGATATTATTATATTTTATTAATATAAGAAAGATATAATTAAGAAATTATATATGAACGAATACTTTTGTGATCTCATTTATTTGATATAACATTAAATTTCTCTTTTCATTAATTATTTTTATTAATAATTTTTTATTAATTTATTTTTTTATTAATTTTGATGAGTGTTACATTATTTTATATTAATTTTTTTCTAACTTAAAAATTATATATATTTTTTTCAATTCTTTCCATATACATAAAATAGATAAAATTGGATTATATAATTCGATTATATAATCAATATTTTGGGAACTGATTGTAACTGAAAAGTATAGAATAAAATTTTATCGTTTAAGTATTTGTTTTCGAGAAA